TAATCAATCAAAAAAGAAGTCTGACCATGTCATGTTACTCCGGTTAAGGTGATATATGTGAAACATATTTGTGTATTTATGTTCGTGTCAATGGGTGAAAAGTCTGACATTTGTAATATGAAAGGATAATAATCTGGATGAAGTTCCATGTATTGGCATTGTAGTTTTACCATACCATTGTGGTAGAACAGAACTCCAAAGAGTCTCAAAGCAACACTGAATTAAAGCATGCTACATAGCAACTAACACCCTTCGAAATGCTTTAGTTCGTATGAAGGATAGGATTCCCTTTATATCAACACAATTGTGTCTACAAATTAAGGTGTGTCGATTGTGATGCCTTCCATATCGGTTATCTTGTGAAATCTTAACTCGAGCCAAAGAACAGCTTAGGCGTATGCCATTTTCAATAACCATCAATTCAAATATCGAAATGATACAAAAAGGCTTTTATAACTATAAAAGGCGAGCAGCTGACGCTTTCCACACACTACTAGATCCTACGGCTCTCAATAGATAAGGTCTTACTATTCGTTCGACTTGGACCATCTATCCGAATCACCATGTCTGATTCCATTCATATCTCATACTGTTATTACACATAGAAATTCAACTCTACCCTTTAAAATTACAAATTTCACATTTTTCACCTATCAACACATAAATACCTAAACATGTCCTACATAAACCACCTCAACCGGAGTAACATGACATTGTCAGACCTCTTTTTTGATTGATTATACTAAATATTTTTGTTTTGTCCTTTTGTACTATTTAAACGTTTGTTAACTTAATTTGTTTAGTTATTCTCTGAAGAAGGGGCTTATATTGAGTTATGAAACGTTAGAAAATTTAATTTTTCTACTCATTGGGACATTACAAATGTATGACACTTATAAACACTTCAACTTTGTTCACTTACATACAAAGCGATCAATACTGAAAAAAGACTATGCAATGTGTTCAAGGAAAAATTCCAGTAAATGAAAAAGTCCCAAGATTTATCAATATACACCATATATACTTCATAAAGAAATCCCTCGTCTTTTTTATGTGAACTCGATAGATCCACAAAAACACATATACGTTCGACACAAATTTATCGTTATACATTAGTTAGTAATATGGTCGTTGATACAAGGCTTGTAATGTTGGTTGCTACGATCGGTTCACACAGCTTATTCTAGCGTTCGAACAAATCAGTTTACGCATTCATCTTGAGTCACATTTTAACCATATCAATTATTTGCTTATCAACCTTGACTGTTTTTATATGAACGTATGTGTGTGTACGTCTTATCCTATTCATCACGTCTATAACTTATTTTTGTTCGACTATAAATGTTGATTCACGCGTGGTTTGAAGAGGGAAATTAATTATGAATAAAGTGATCTTGAGTGCTGTTAGAGGTATGAGGGCGGTTATAATTTCCTGGTTGCCACACCGTGGGAGGGCTCATCTAGTGATACCTGGAAATAAAATTGCGTCAAAGGTGGTCCTATCGATGCGATAGTTTGACCACAGTGCCCAATGGACACACACGACCTTTTTGTGAGTAATTTTCGTGTTAGCTCCGTACTTGTTAGGAACTTACCGCCGGAGACGGAAATCCGTAGGATAAGGCGGGGTGTGTATTCTTAGGATCGACCTTTTCTAACCCCAGCCTTCCTTGAGGGAAGGTAACATAGCTATTATGCTGGTCGTCTGAAGGAAACACCTTACTGCCGCCACACGTCCGTACAATCAGAAATACGACTTCACCCTCGGACCTTGGGTTTGCTGCTTTTAGTCTTACCGCTCTTCAACCGATCTGTCTGGCATGGTCAGTCAGAAACAACGTAGAACTTCGAGTGTTCGTACATTAGTTCAAGTTGCCAAACCACAGTAGTACACAGATACAATTGTCGATTCAAATCCCATAGTGGTAGAGGTAGTAAACGTATAAGCAGTAATCGGAAACATTAGGGTTTGAAGGAGTATAATACAGTGAAATAAATTTGGAAAGAGGAAAAAGAAAGGGATAAAGAAATCAGAAGATTAGAATTTGAGAGAGCCCCTAAATGCCCTGGTATGGCCGAGAGTGGGGTGGGTTGGCCCTCCCCCTCGAAATGCTCTCACATGGCCACGCGTACACAGTCTCTGCCAAGGAAGTCCTACTCACTGCCTTCTCGTAGCGTGGGTGTTGTTTACGAAAATGAGAGGACGAAAAGCGAATGTCCGGCGCTTTAACCGGATCCCAAACCAAATCAATAGTGCACATGGGCTCCAGTATCCTGAGGGAACAAATGGTGGATGAACCAATCGTTGGTCACTGTCCACCATGGTACTGCATCCCCTCACGATGCTCCGCCGCTTTGTGGGTCAAAAATTTAGGTCAAAGGTTCGGGGTGTGGCCCCCTAAGAAAACCACCTGCTTCGGTTTGGGCACCCGGGTAGTATCACAGCCCACACACACAAATATGGTGTGGCGCATATATATTTGGTGCCTTCTTGTACCGATACATGTGTTGAAATAAAATAAAAAAATTGAGAGAACACAAAGAGTGGATGCACCTGAGCCATTGCAAACGATTTTGAGCCATGTCATTCAAGGTCTCTAACCATCAGTTGCTATCGTATCGCGGATTCCAACCAGGTAGTCTACACCTACCAACAGTCCACTTGTCACTGACTTCATGAATTTGCGCCATGTTTTTTTCGGCAGCCCCTAGCTTTCTTCGAACCTACTCCTATACCACTGAACATCACACGTCGAGGCAGTCGATGGTTGAGCATATGTAACACGTCCCCCAGACATGTCAGATGATGAAATTTAACTACTTCGGCAATTGATTTGCCATCCTTACCTAGTACCCGTTTCCTAACAACTGCATTACTTGCTCGGTGGTCACAGGATATACGATCAATGCTTCGAAAATACCTATGATCTAATACTAGTAACCTACGAATATCTTTTACCGGCCATGTTTCACTGCCATAAAACAGGACGGAACGAACTGTTTCGCAGTAAACCCGTCCTTTGGTTGGTAGATGAATATCTCGACTACGACATAAATGATGCAAGTTGGCAAAAGCTAGTCTAGCCTTCTGTATCCGTGCTGAGATTTCATAACACACCAGACCACAAAGGCTGATGAAACTCCCAAGATAAGTGAAGCGGTCGACATGCTCAACTACTTCTTTCCTATCATTAGTTCAGCTGCCGATGTAACCCAATCCTGATGCAAGATTTTGCATTTCGAGGGGGAGGACTTTGAAGAACGATTGTTCCAGACAGTATAGCTCGATTAGTTCATTACGATAGGTATTAGCAGCGGTCGGGTTTACTTACCCCTCGTGGAGAAGCATAGGCCACCCACCAGCACCCTCCATTCAACTCTATCCTGGGCAATCCTTTGCAGTTGCTTTTCATCCTTTTCATGTCTACTCTCAATTCCCAACGCAGTGTGTTCTTTGGTCTTCCTCTTTTCTCTTTCCCTTCAGGATTACAAGTTAGGGCTTGCATCGTGATGCAGTTTGGTGATTTGAGTAATGTATGTCCTATCCATCAACTCCATCGTCTTTTCCTAATTTCCTCTTCAGATGGAAGCTTTTTTGTCCTCTCCCAAAGTAGCTTGTTGCTGATGTTATCCGGCCAACGGATATTGAGTATCTTGCGTAGACAAGGGTCAGGCACACTTGGTAAATTGAGTTGGGTCACTCGCTATGATATGGCCTAAAAAGTCTTAATGGTACGTGCGATAGTTCACATTTTTCAAAAAATTCGCTTCCATTATTAATTAGATGAATAAACTAGGTTTAAAATATTTTCTGCACTCACCAATTCAGCTCAAGCACAAAGCTTAACACCAAACTGTTGTGCAAAACACAGCTAGGTGGAATCTCTTCAATTCACGCTATCATTACAGCTTGTGCAATAAAATCCATATATACCAAAACTACTCAAAAAAAAAAGAAACAAAGTAGATGAAAAGTAACTACTCGCTATATGTTTGTGCTACACCAAAGTCCAATATTGATTTAGAACGAGAATATTTTCAGGTTAAATTTCATAAAAAATATTTTAAAAACAAACTAACCACAAAAATAATAATAACCAGCATTGTGGTTGTCTGTTTATTTGCGAGATATCAGACAAAGCCATGAATCAATAACACATGATAGATTTGTTTACTGTATATCCAAGAGTTCTTTATAAACAGTGTGAAAATTATGTGAATGAATATACTATGACTAAAAAATCGAAATAATTAGTTACTAATAATAACTGAGGCTTTAATATATTGCATGATATAACTATGATCATAAGTTAATAAATTCCTGATACACGATAACACCCAATATCTAATCATTCTATGAACCAACAAACAGTACGCCTACATTCATATTGACATATCAATTTAGTGAAAACAGTTGGTTGCCTGGATAAATTTATTTTTATACAGAATGGTTTTGACGTTGTAAAAATCTACCATATTGAAAATTACGATTGATTCCTGGGCCTAGAATCACAGAATACCCAATGCAAATATTTTTCGAGGAATCTGAAGCTACAGAGTACAAAACTCATCGCTACCCAGACCCCTTTGTTTGGATTATGACTACAGAAGCTCGACCTAATAACTGTAGTGGATTGTAGCCGGGTGTTAAGGTCATTCAATATCGTCAATAGGAAGTTCAAAACCTAACTACAGCTTATATGTTTATCATAAGGACAGGTATGTTTGGGGACCAAACAATAATTTCATTCAACTGTGATAAATTGATTGATTACTGAGATTATTTACCAAATAAAGAGTTGTACGCTTAACTTTGAAGTACAATTCAGATGCGAGGACTAATGATATACCTTGGCTATTGAAAGTGAAGTTTGAACATGTTTGGAAGTCGAAAACTACTGAACCATCATTTCAAGGATATGTCAACTCCTTTGAAAAACGAATATGCATACATGAGGAAAAACTGCAATAAGTACAATTAAGAATTCCAAAACATTTTTACAGATGTTTATGTTTATCAATGAGTATATATACTGGTTATTTACTCTGATTGCTCTGAACAAAAAAACAACACACGAAAAAAATTATACAATGGGAGCTATCTAACATGTAATTGTTCGGTACAGACAAGAAAGAACACAATTACTACTAGCAATCTGACCAAAAGAGAGAGAGAGAGAGGAAGAGAAGAAAAACTTAAGCAATATACGTATATAAATAGATAAAATATTCCTGTTGAAACAAATAAAATAATATTGTTGCAAAATGAAAGCAAACATATGGACAATAATACATACATAAAATGGCTTTAGAAATCAAACAAAAAGCCCAAGGCAAAATCAAAGGTAAGATTAAATAAAGGAAGAAACAAAAATACAACTTTGGTGAATTTGGAAATCACATAATACTGCCTTCACATAAAGGCACTAATTAACAAACAGGAATGATTGAAAAGAATATCATTTATTCAGTTTAATCAATGATAAGTTAGTATTTTGTATTTAAAAAGTGATAAAATGTTTATTTATATTTTCATTACAAGTTTTAAAAGCATCCGTAAATGAACTATGGAAGACACTAACAAACAATTGAGAAAAGGGTGTTTAAAATAAAGAATAGATAAGGGATGAAATAGGGCCACAAATAAAAAACAACATGTAGGTATACTTTTTTTACACTATCCCGGTAACCATATCCTAAAAAAAGATACATATGGATAAACGATAAACGTTTACGGAATTACACTAAGTGTGAATAATAGTCAAAATTAGAAAAATTTAACTGATCTGCATCTAGAAGAGGCGGACGTTGTTTAGTTGGTGTAAGAACAGCTTTTTCCCTGGTGAATTCTTCATCGAAATTTGAAACATCTTCAGGACCAGACTGGAATTAAAATCACAAAAGAGACATGATCAATCAAAAGGCTTGAAGTCTGTTGAACTTAACGCAAGATAAAACACTTGTGTAAAACTTAGAAGGAATTTTCAGGAATGAACGTAAAATTATACTCATATATGGAGTTAATGAGGAACCAATATTACAAAAATAAGGGTTCACTATAGTTGATCTATTGTGTTTCAGTCAGTCAGTCAGCTACAACGTAGGACCAGGCACATATATGCATCGGTCCAGGTTGCCATACCTCATTAGCACAGCAAGATGAACACCGGATTCATAGGAGTGGTTAGGTTAAAGGTGGTAATATATAGGAGAAAGATTGCATATAAGGAAACAGTACCGGAATATAGAATTAGTTCGTAGAAAGAAAGATATGAAGCGATTTTAATCTCTTAGTTTAAAGGAAGACAGAGAGTGTATACACCGACGCCATTGTGACCGATTCTGAGCCATGTCACCAAGAATCTCCAACCATTGGTTACGAAAGTCACGCGGACCCCAACCAAGTAGTCTGCATCTACCAACATGGCTCAGACTAGAGGTTAGTGACTTCAAACACTGATGCCACGTTTTGGTTTGGCCGCCCCTAATTCTCTTCCAACCATCTCTAACACCTGTTAGCATTGCACGACGTGGTAATCGGTGTTCAGGCATACGTAACACGTGGCCCAACCATCTCAGTCGATGAAGATTAACAACCTCATCAACTGATTTACCATCATTACCTAATACCCTGAGTCTAACCTCACTATTACTTACCCGGTGATCTTAGCAGATGCCAGCAATATTTCTTAGGCATCTGTGGTCAAATACTAGTAGCTTACGAGTGTCTTCTACTCTTAAAGGCCATGTTTCGCTGCCGTAAAGTAAGATCTATTGTGTTTAAGGAGAAAAAACTGTAATAATTGTTACGACAATCAAGTGAAGCGATAAATTTTTATCCAATATTCAATATAAATATCAAATAACTTACAACAACAGGAACAAATGGTGGTTTTATTTTTTGTGCTAAGAGAGCTTGGAAGTCTAGTTTACGGAAGAATGGTTGTCTTTTAATTTCTTCTGCATCTTGAGCTGAAGATCCCAAACGCTGTGCAGCATTCCGACGAAGCAGGCGCCCCATTATTAATTTAGCTTCCATGCTCAAATAATTAGGGTAGCAAACGCTTTTATTAACAATGCTGTCAAAAATTTCTTCTTCACTCTCACCAGGGAAGGGGCACTAAAAATAGAGAAATGATTGTCACAAGAACTTTAGAAAGTTAGGAATTTTAATATTCAGATTATTTGTGGTTAACACCTAAAAGCACTGAACCTTCCCTGATTTGGAAATATAGATGCAAATATATATTTGTCCCGCGATAGAGATTAACCAGACGGATTTAAAACAGATAAAGACCAAACACCCAAAATAGGAATCTTTATCATGCTTACTTCGCCGACGAGCATCTCGAAAATGAGAACACCCAAGCCCCACCAATCTACAGCACGTGTATACGAAGAATCTGTGAGAACTTCAGGGGCCAAAAACTCCGGTGTCCCACAGAATGTGGAAGTTCGATCATCTGGACCCATGCCTTCCTTACATAAACCAAAATCAGCCATCTTTACAAAACCTTCCGAATCCAACAACAAGTTATCCAGTTTCAGATCCCTGAAATTCATTGATATAAACAAATAATTGTAAGAGAATTTACAACAAACAGGCACATATAAAGTCGATATGAAAGTAAAAGGCATAAGAAATACCCTGAAACTGTGTACGTAAATAACATGAAGGATCTGTATCATTTATAACAACTAAAAGTGTTTAACAGTCATCACAAAATACTTTTTGGTTGCTGAAGGACACTAAGCAGTGTCAATAATATAGTAGTAGCAGTAAGTTCATAGATTTCATGAAAACTCAGGTTGTTTGAGCAAGAGGGACTACATGATAAACCTACAGAACGTTCAGCAGGATTCAATTACCGGTGTGACTATGTTCGGTGTAGTAAACAAAGAGAAACACTAAATGATCCCAGGTTAATTTATCTTAACTACAACTATACAATAGAAATAACAAAAATCTCACACATATAGTGACATCCAAGTGCTTATTATACTACCAAAGAGATGCAAACTATGTTATACCATCTGAAGAAATTCGTCATAGATTCCTATTTACGTAAGAACATTCTTGTCTCTTAAAGAAACATTTGACAGTGCGTGAACTGAAAAATCAGACAAACGTTTCTAGCTTGACCGGAAGCATAAGACACAAGTTTCGTGTTCAGTTACATTCATCACAAAAGATGAACTGAATTTCGCTGTTGACGACCATTAACTCTTACAGAATGTATATATATACAAGGCTTCTTGTTGATAGCCTCATTGTAGATACCATTTTTAGTTCATTCGATATTATTCAAATAATGATCAATATGAAATATTGTGAATTCAATGTAAACAATAAACATTATTGTATCTCCTGTTTGCATCACTAAATATACAAAGAAAATCAGCTCATCAGAAACCTTAACTAGTCTACAATTTCTGGAGAGAAAAAAAAGGTAAACAGTCAAATTATGACCATTTTAAACAGAGAAATTTCTACAATATTATATATTTGTTATTCTAATCTGAATATTGAAATCAAACAATAGTGAATAATATTTGCTTATTATTTGTCATAGTTAATGATGTTTACAAATTGGTAAGAATTTTTTTTTGTCAAAACCAATAACAATACAACTAGACAATAGTTAATCATTCAGAATGGATGACCTTAAAAATAATTCACACTACCGATTGTTAGTATGTTTAAATATAGATAAATGCCAGACTACTTTAATAGATCAATCAGATTAATGGCCAAATTACAACTTGATCGATAGAATTTGAATAGCGCCAAGAACAAACAAAAAAAACACAACTTAACATTGATTTTATTACAGTTGAATGAATAATCAACTTAGTGATTAACTTCTGTGAAATTATTTTGTTGAACCAATAAATCCTTGTTCAATAAATGACAAAATTAATATCATTTCAATATGTCTAATAATAAGATTAGAATGTATCATATCAAAATTAATTGATTAAACTTTATAACCATATATGTAGTCAATGAAAGTAAGATTTGACATAAACAATGTGAATAAAGTTTTAGATAAATCTAGACAGAAAAAATAATTTTATACATTTGGTTTTTATAATTAAACTGAAAAGATTATGATTAGGATAGAATTTGCACAGTAAATTTAATCTATGTTATTTATGTTACATGTTTCTCAAGGATTGCATGAACACTGAATAAATAAATAAATAAACAAATAGGTATTGTATAACGTTAAACAAACTAGTAAATAAAACACTAGAACACCAGAACCTAGAAATTAAACTCGTGTTAGTAAAGTAATGAGATGAATAGTAATAGATGAGTAAGCAATCATGTAGGAAGTTATCTGAAGTATGTTAGTTACAATTCAGTTTTAGATAATACACTATCTTCGATATATAGATGATCTATTTAAGTTTAATGGCATTTTACACCAAATTTAAATTGGCGATAGATTATAATGGTTTTTAATCAAAAATAATGACGTTTCCACTATCTGTGAAAGTATTAACTTAAATTGAAGATCGAGTGAGTTCTTTTGGAGTATAGAAGAAAATCACGGTACATGGAACAATTGTAGACGTTAATTCCTATTCATTTGTCTTCAATATATGATATCCCGTTAACTGAGTATTTTAGCGACCCAACTTTCCCTACTAGTACTGTGAGTATAATTAAAAATATTCAAAATCCAGAACACCAGTTGTCGGGAAAGTGTATTGTTACTAAATAATAAAACCAGTAAGCATTCATGATTCAAAGGACACTGGGAAGTTAGTGAGTGTGTGTGTAAAAACTCGAAAAATCTATGATTGTTAATCAATTATGGGTAAATTATTGATTGTGTCTGTGTTTACAACCAATGGGAGGGTAGACATTCTGTAGCTATCATTCTATATGTATCATTAAGAAAAGTAACAAACTGAATAATTTTTTAGGTGTCATTACCAAGGCTTGACTTGATAATTTCAAATAAATTGGGCATTTGGGTAGATTGTTATTCACAAAAATAATATATTTGTGTAATATCCCGATAAGTCGCAAAATTAGATTTATTCTTTGAAGAAGTGGCTTATACTGAATCACGAAACGTCAGAAAACTTTCATTTTTCTACTCATTGGTGTATTTACAAATATATTATTTTAATTCAATTGAATAACCTATTCTTCGTAAATAAATAAAATCAAATGACATGAAATTAAGATTGTAAATGTGAATATAATGAACAGAAAAATACAAATGTGATTACCGGTAAACAATTTTTTTTGAGTGAAGGAATTCGATACCTAAAACAACACATCCAGCATAAAACACAGCTTGAGGTTCTTTAAACACATTTTTTTGAATAAGTGACATGAGATCACCACCCTGTGCATATTCCATCACAAACATTACGTGTTCCTAATAACAAATGAAAACAAAGTAAAGAATAGGTTATATCTGACAAGAAGTAACAATAACTGAAAATCAATGATGATTTATGCCAGAAAAAATAGAATTGAGTTAATGTAAAACAACACAGAAAACAGAATTCATTTGTAATATATAATAAACGTAACAATTAAATAAAATTATTTGAAATACAGTATATTTTAATATTAGTAGGTGTACAAAAGACATAGATTTACAGATGTTATCTCCAGATGACTCTTTCCAGTTGGCTAGAGAATGTTTAATTCGAAAAATTTTTCTTATATAACCAGCTCATGAAATCTTTTGAGAGGTGTTGTATAAAGCAGTAGCTGTGTGTGAAAGAGGTGGTAAATTAATTATAATATTCAATTTGAATGGTGTATTTTTGTAGACAGATTTAATAGGTGAAGTATGAGAATTGTTTATAAATTTTTCATAACAGTATATTCAAAAGCTTCATACAATAGTTTTTATTGATAAATTTTAAGAAAAAAAGCTTATATCAGTTCCATCACAGGCTATCAGAGTCAAGCTACTGAGATAAATGTCTAGAAAATTTTCGAAGCTCATACTTTAAATATGTCTGTAAAAACGGTCAATAACTTCCAAATACTTAGTCACATCCCAATTCATGAATGTCCCCCAGTATTTACATTGTTCATCGTTAAACTTATTATTATTATTGGTTAGCATGTTTATTGATTTGTGGTTGCTTGCCATTCTTTCCAACTGTTAGTAAACGGAACTTATGTCAGTACGTTTGCCGGCTAGTACTTTGCTTGAGAGCTAAGTTTGATAAATAAACTGACATTTTGTTTTGTATATTTTTAACCTTAATCAAAAGTCACTATTGTCTAAATACCCATTACGTTTCAGTGGCGGTTGATAATAATAAAGGCGAAATTGGTCAATGTAAGGTTTAGCGTTTACCGCAACTGAGAAAATTTAATTTATGGTACACAGTCTAATGGACGCAACAAACAACCGAAAACAGATTAATATTATCGAACCAGACACATGTGCATTGGTTCCAGTTGCCATACCTCATAAGCACAGTGAGATGAAATTATTTGGAAACAGATACCAAAATAGTAGAAGTAGTAACGATATCAGTAGCATTGGTAGTACAAGTAGAAACGATTAGGTACTGGAAAAAAGTGTAAGGAAATGTCGGGATTCAGGAACTTATGGAAGCCAAACAAAGAATGCAACTGAGCCACTAACAAATCACGTCACTCGGTTACCGTAATCCCACAAGCAACAACTACGTGCTCTCCATCCACAAAACCTCCTTCCAGCATACTACTCCTACATCGTCCGTCCAAGTTGCCATTGGTTGCAAATACAAAATACATGTCCTAATCACCCCACAATTCATGAAGTTTCACTACTTCGTCAGTCCATTCGCCGTCTTTACCCAGTACCCATGTCTAGCCTCGACACTGTTCATCATTCAGTTGTCTCAAACTACATGGGCGACGCTCCGAAGATCGCACCTGAGATCGACTACTAGTAAACCACAAATATCCCCTATTTTCAATGCTCGTGCTCTACACATCAGTAATGTGGAACAGAGTGAACTGTTGCACAAGAAACTTGTCCATTTGTTGGTCGACGGATATCTATGTCAAGTGATAAGTGACGCAATTTGGCAAAGACCCACTAAGCTGCTTGAGTCTGTACAGAGATTAAGTCATGCACCAAATCAGTAGAGATGATGAGACTTTCACGATAAGAGAAGTGGTATATGCGCTCAACCATGTTACTTACTAGTTCAGGCGTTGGCACAGACCAGTCATGAAGCGGGATAGTATTGAATCCCAAACATGCTAACAGTGCCGTTCAAGACGATCAAGAGACTGGCTATTGTCAGTATCATCACCAGACAGCACTATGTCATCTGAAGATCTTAATTCAATAACTGAATTTCCTGATAAACGATATATTGTCGAAGACTTGAACGATGAAAGGATCATTTCTAAAGAGTTTTATGGTGAAATTAAGTGAAGATGAAAAAAGTGCTGAGAGTCTAAACAAGGTTGATGTATGTCTTTGATACGGCTTAATCAAGCGCTGGATGTTGAGGCCGATATTTTAGATAATAACGTTGGCCAACCTGATTCCTGTGGTTGTTACAACAAGATTTTCGTAATTTCCTGTAGACTTGAACGATCAGAGATCACGTCCACTCAGATGGAATTATGTCTAATCCCCAGCAGGTGGTCCCGACCGTTGTTGCTACCTTGACGCAGTGGTCGGGCTTGCCTATCATCATGAAACGATCGTTCCTCGAGGTCCTACCATGTCAGACAGCTCGGTTGAAGAACGGTAAAATTAAAAGCAGCAAACTCAAGGTCCGAAGACGAAGTCGTACTACAGACTGTACAGAGGTGTGACAGCAGTAAAGTATTCCCTTCAGACGACCAGCATGACAGCGATGCTGCCTTCCCACAAGGATGGGTGGGGTTAGAAAATGTCGATCCTAAAATGCACACCTCGCCTTATCCCACGGATATCCATCTCCGGCGGTAAGGTCACAATAAGTACGGAGCTAACACGAAAATTACTCACAAAAAGGTCGTGTGTGACCGACCTCAAGCAGTTGTCCCTTGGGCACTGCGGTCACGCTCTCAGATCATTAAGACCACTTACTATTTACTTACGCCTGTTACCCCTCGTGAAGGAGCATAGGCCGCTCACCAGCATTCTCGATCCAACCCTGTACTGGGTTATCCTTTCTAGCTCTTTCCAGTTGTTATTCATCCTTCTCATATCTGCTTCTACTTACCGACGTTTGAAGTTAATCTACTAGGATCTGCTACTCTCCTTGCTTTTGACTAGTTACATTATTTCCAGCCTCACTAGCAGCTGGGGGACTAAAGTCGATTTTCCATTCAGATTATTTGTTCTCGCTTTCAATCGTGTTCAGAACCTGAGTTTACGAGAATCTATCAGAACAATAGACTTAGCAGAAATGAGCTGGTTTTTCGTGACCCTTTGGTTTAAATTACTAATAGATGTCGCTAGTGTTTCTACAGCAGTTCGTAAATCTTACCAAACAATATCTGGGTCAGTTTCGTTTCAGAACTGCCTAAGTGTGACCTCAGTTGTTAGCCTTACTATGCAATAAGCTAATAGGTAAACCAGAGATCGAGTGGAAGTAACATTTGTCACCAGTTTTAATGTGCATAAGTAGAAAAGGGTAATAAATCAAGTTGTTTAGATGAGCATTTTTGGAGCAGTGAATGGAGATTACTTAAATCAAAATAAGTTGACCTGAGAAGTAATATTTAAAAAACAATAACTGGGAAAGTATTGAAAATAAGTGATAATTAACTAACATCTTGGGGACAATACGATAGATGAACAACGAAACGACTATTGATTACTAACGAAACTAAGAGATACAATACACGAAAAACTGAAACACAAAGGGTAAGCAGTGAAAAAGTAGCTCTCACTCTACATCTGTGAATCATTGGATATAAAAGTAAAAAACACAAGTAAGCTACAAGTATTTGCTCACAAGTCTTGGAAGTACTGTATAAATAGGGTGGATTAAAAGTAAAAAAAGCAAATATATTGATGACATTATATATCTCCATCAACTGAGGTGCTTAGGACATATTCTACTTAGGTGGAACCGTCTGCATTAAGTGTAGCACACAGATTAGCAAAATCACTTTAACCGATCCTATACTAACCAAAGGATGAAATGACAAAGGAAGAAATAATCGAATGTCATTCACAAAATTAAGTTTCAACTGGGAAAATCACTATATTGGACAAAGTGGACACCCCCTTCACCTTCGCCTGCACGAATATCAATTAGCAGTCAAATGCCATGACATATCCTCGATTATATCAATGCATGTGGGCAACTTTGAATACAAATTTGACTGGAAAAATGTTGAGACCTTGGATAGAGGCAATTCTAAAAACACCAACGAAGTTTTAGAAGCTTGGAACTCTGGTCAATCAACAAACACATTGAAATAAATCTGACGTACCAACCAATCAGAAAAATCATGGACAAATATAGGACCAAGAAGATGCAATCAAAATAGAGTAGACAGTGACAGGTTAAAGGTCAGCAACAATAACCAATCAAGATCGGGGTCTACAGGACAAGCTGTGAGTCATATGTGAAGGAATTCGAGCACTTCACTTCTACCCAAAGTTTGTGCTGATGATGTCGTTCAGAAGAACGATGAAAGCTCCACGACCAAACCGTCCAGCTCAGAGAAAAAAACTTCACTTAGATCATCCACCTGACCTACAAATCTCCACCTGTGCTACTTATGCTTAACCACCACATAAACGAACATGCAATGTTGGGTAGCATAGAGTAGGTTGGAAAATAACTGGGAAAGAACATGTTAAGATCGTGTGGATAGGTTAAAACTTACAGATTGAGACCCCCGCAATACTCATAATCCATATCTGGAAATGGTGGATGCTATGACCGAAAACTGGTTGTAGTGGCTCAGCTGAATGAATTACCTATAACTATCTAAGTATCGTTCGTAACTAATAATTCTCTCATCTGTTTTTTTTCCTTCCGTACTTTCTCTTATTTTTTGATACCCACTGCAGTTCAAATTGAGTGTTCCCCATTCCTTTTTTGTTGATATTATTATTATTTATAGCTTTATTCAAAATTACATTTTTGGTACAATATAGAATTCTCAGAACAAGGTATTTCGACAATTCTCTTTTTCTTATTTCTTGGCCGACCCTTCTGATAAATATTCAGTGGTCACCAGTTATATGTTAGCAGTTCAGGAATCGACATCTGAATAATGTATATTATTTTCGATGCACATTTCCAGCAACCACGATGTCTCTGATTAGGCTCTTTTGTAAGTTGTGCAGCGGAAAGTAGTAAACTTTTCACAAACGCACCTGAATAGGTTATGAGACAAATAGGCATAATGATGTGTTAAAACAAACAAGAAAACAGATAACTTGTTGGAATATCCAGATAGCGGGAACAGGTAACCCAGGTATTCAAGCAGGCTGCCGTCATGTGGTGTGACAACCTGATGGGATACATGTTTTTACAAGATTCTACATGAACTATGGTTAAGACTAACTGAAATATAAATGGAAAATAGGGCTTACCTTTGTCTGAAAGCAGGCAATTAAGTTTATGAGGAAAGGATGTTGTGCATCGGTAATGATTTGCAAAATGCGTTTTTCTGTCAATAATGTATCGACCTCATTACGAAAGATTATCTCCGCCTTCTTTAAAGATTTTATAGCATAGTACTTATTATCTCGGTGGTATTGAGATAGCAATACTTTGCCGAAATGACCACGCCCAAGCACAGCCACAGTGCGGAAATCAATCATACTGAGTATTGTTGTGGATTTGTTTGATGATACTATGAATCAAAGGCAATCAAATACAATTAAATTAGCGAAAACGGTAGAAATCTTGAAGATATGGAAGAAACAATAAAAGAACGAATGTAAACTTATTAATATGTGCAATGCACATTGAACTGAATATATAACATCATTAGATGACCATGTAAACCGATGGTGATTGTGCTATGCACAGCAAACAGCTTAAGTAAAATTTAAAGTAAGCAATAACTATAAGGTGGAAATCCTAACTAATGTTTCAAGCAAACTGTGGTCGGGTATCTAATCACTTTCTACCATTCATTAACTTGGAAGTCAAATTTGGAAGCAAAAAAGTTATGAAATATGTGTTTGGAATACAAAAGTAATTAAGATTAGTTCTAGTGAGAAGCCGTGACCAGTGGAGCTAATCCTTGTCGGGTAGAGACAGTTATCTACCTCAGTACAATGGAAGTTGGTCGCGCAATTTCGTGGATTGGTTGATGTTAGAAACTATCACCAATGGATGCCGGCTCAGTGGTCCAGTTGGTTAAGCGTTCGCGCGCGAGACCGAAGGCCCTGGGTTCGAATCCCGCTCGCGGGATCGTGGATGCGCACTGCTGAGGAGTCCCACGATAGGATGAAACGGCCGTCCAGTGCTTCCAGGTTTTCAATTGTGATGGTCTAACATCAATTGGTTCATGATCTCAATCAAAAAAATAAGATTAGTATGTTATCATTAATCGCAAGACCTGGCTTGACAGTCCTAAATAAACCGAAAAATAGATAGTCTGCTTGCGGATTATCTACTCACTCGTTCCTGTTACTAATTTATTTGTCGTAAATACCACCAACCTAACCAACTGAATACATAACCTCAAAAAGTAAACTTTAAGTCCGATGTGTTTATTGATTACTACTCACAAAAATCAATAGAAAACTTGGGTGCACTAAAAATGAACTGCGAGGGTTGAAGCTATCACGAGTTCACTTAATCTGCGAACGAGAAACAAGCCTCGGTGACCAAAGACCAGTAAGCTGGCTATTGATGCGTCCCAGCCCCACTAACTAGAGGGAGAAGTTCAAGCTTGTAATGGGGAAGTATATTCTGCAAACAGCCAGAAACGAGCGATGAAAACAAACACAATTCAAAGCGTATATATATACAGTACAAAACCGTCCTTGGGGAGAGCTACCAAATACCATACTAAAAGACGCAACGGACCAATAGCATTTAAGATATTTTCCAGTGGGAAATACGACATGAAGGTGACAAGAGCGCCTTTGGCGTGAAAACAAAGAAATTCAAATTTTCTGAATAAAATTACAAAATTAGGTCCTTTCTCAAGTGAGTTCTGGGGATCTAACGTCCCCAACATGAGCCTAGTTATGAACACAGCTAGAATACGACCAGAAAATTTTCTAATCAGATTATCCCAAACAAAGCTAGATAATGCACAAAACTTACATTCACTGAAGAGTTCGGATGCTGCAGTACGCGGAGACTCTGAAGTAGGAACATCTTTATTTTCTTTTTCTGTTGATAATACAACGGGACCAGAATTAGATCGTTGCACATCCATATTAATATAGTCTGCAGTACGATAATCGACGTCCTTCTGACCTATAGATATCATTTCCGTAGCACCAAGGTCTTCTGGATTGGCGTAGTCTGAAACACGGGACGGAGTAGGGGGTTTGCGGGAGCTACTATCCATGTCATACTCGATGATAACTGGCGCAACATCGTAGTCCGGCGAAAATGAAGAGTCGATTCCAGTAGCAGGTGCATGATGGTGGGGTGTCGATGAGTAGTCATTAATGTCATCAGTCAAAAGAGACTAAATGAATCAAAAAATATTCGAACATTTTATAAAATATCTTAATCAAAGTATAATAAATCCAATTTTCAAAAGTAATACCAGTTATGATTATTAATATAGATTAGAAATAAGGTATAAAAACAGGGATACACAAGAAACAGTAGTCTAAGGACCATCAAAGCAGCAACCCAACTGTGTGAAAAGTTAAAAGAAAATTCGGATCAGAATAATATCACTCAACACCAGTATATGACAAAAAATAAACATGAAAATTTGTTCGGGTTATTATTATGCCATGCGAATTTGCAAATTAATGTCAAGAAAATTTAAAAACAAAAAAGCTTTCACATTGAGTTTTAGCTGCCTCATTGATCTTTTTATCGTGACCCAGCAATTTGTATAACAGGGGTTGAAAAATTCCCAAATCACTCACTTTTTTACGTAGGGTTTTTATTTCCTTTTCAGTTAATGTAATATTTTTTTCCCGTAAGGCATCTGGTTCACGAATAATTGTAACTAATGGACGCTGTTGAATAATCGTATCAGTGATATTGACTGATCTGGTGGGGAAGGCAGATGGCGATTCTCGATATTTAGAAGTATTTAAATGAGATTTGCCATTAAAAGCCTACATATATGCAAGCAAATTCAAAATAATAAAAACCTAAAAGACTAAGGAAAAGATTGGTCACCTTAATAATCATAAATAACAAAAATAAGCAATAATCTATACACCAATATGTTTTATCGTTAATATCATCATCTGATCATTGGAAATCTCAGCGATCTTCACAAATTTTCAGTATGAAGTGATTTTCTGTGATAAATGCATTCTCCAAGCTGAACATCATCATAGTACAAAAATAAAGACAGGACATATAGTTTTTTTCTACTTGGACAGTAAGAAATATACATTTATGGCATACTAAGAATCATGCAGAGTAAGCTATGAAACTGATGCTGAAACAAAAAAAATGGTTCACAACGCCATGATAAAAATCAGTCAGTCAGTCAGTAACAACGTAGAACTTTGTACGTACGTACATCAGTTCGAGTTGCCACACCACATTAGCACAGAAATGCAGTGGTCGATTCAAATCCCGTAGTGGTAGAGGTAATAAGAGTATAAGCAGTAATCGGAAAGATTAGTGTTTGGAGATGTTACTTAAAGAGTATAATACAGTGAAACAAATTCGGGAAGAGAAAAGACAAAGAGGAATCAGGAGATCAAAATTTGGGAGAACACAAAGAGTGTATGCACCTGCGCCATTGCAAACGATTTTGAGCCGTGTCATTCAGGGTCTTAAACCATCGGTTGCTATCATCTCGCGGTCCCCAACCAGGGAGTGACTCAAAATTAAAATAGCTAGGCAATATAAAGCAGAAATTAACAAATTTAGGAACTCCATCTCTATAGGTATGGGAAAGAAGAATCAAAGTCTATACAATAGTGTTCCAAGTATTTACAGAACAAGAGATTTATAATTACGGGTACTTTAAAACACCACGCAGATAGGTAGAGCTGTCCATAACAGTACGGATAAGTCGGTGGGATTACAAACCTATCGATAATTATGGGAATTTGTTCACCCTAATTTTTATTCACAGTGGAAATATCAAGCAACTGAAAAACTCTACTTAAAGTAATTAGTGATGTTAACCAACGAACAAATAACACAGTTTTACGAACAGGTCAGTCTTATTAAATCTCATGCCAAAATACAGTAAATTCAATTTCTTTAAAAAGTCCTAGATAAGTATGTTCTCTACTAAGGGATAATACGGAACTAGTAATTGGAAAAACAAACAGAATATCATGAGGTCTCGTGAAAACCTTCGTTAATTTAAATCAACACACTTTTCCATAGCTCAAGAGGAAATCAACAAAAACGCAGATATTAAAGTAAACAAAGTCATTAGCCGATGGAGAAGGAACAAACTTAACATAGACAATGACTTTAATAATTATTTGTCCTATCAAGAATAACCTGTCTCATGGAATGTATCGAACTATGATAATTAGGAAGTAATTTACAGTAGTTATAAACGCTTTTGTATTAGCTTCGATAATTCACATTAACTCACATAATAAGTATTAATACACTAATTTAAGATCTTTGGGCTCATCGTGACTTTAGATGGAATCCCCTGACACTACAAGACAATGTGTTTGGAAAAGTCAGTCAGTTTTCAGACGACTCAGAATAAAACTAAGTGATGATTGTGCTGTCATTTTTTAATCTGAAATTTCACTATATAATCTTATTATAGTCGGTAATACGATTTTTCTCATTTTTATGCCTCTAAAAATCCTTTTATTTCATTCTGACGTAGCACATGACAATCAAGGTTGGGTAATGACTCGGTAGAAGTGCAACTGTTTGAGTGACTGGTGCTGAAGAATGAAATTCTCCGGTGGGTCAAAGGTTAATGCTCGAGGTGACATTTATCGGGTCAAGTTAGCTACATCTGAATATGGATGAGTTGTGGGTATTATAATTCCTCATATAAAGTACCTGAATCAGTCAAATATTCATGATGAAAAACATTAGAGTGCGTTCCAGTGTTTATTGTACTAGGCGTCGAGTTGTAAAACGAAACATACAATAGAAAAGATCTGTAGAAATAGCTTGCAACATAGTCCACCGTTTTATGGGAATAAAAACACAAAGTATCTAAATCTGGTTGTCATAACAGAACATTAATAACTTTATTAACACAAATGAGTATAATTTTCAAGGCTTTATTGGTTAGGCCGATTTATATGCTCTTCATTTTTTTCGAAATTGGGTGATTAATATCATTAATATGTTCAAATCATGTATAAAAAATAATAGTAAAATTCACCTGAGCAGAAACTGGTGAACCGCTAAGAGAAGTATTAAGCTGTTGGAAGCGACCCTCTAGACCATGCATCATTACAGATCCTGAAGATCCAAATTCTTTTGAATGATTAAGTGTCCATGAACCACTAACAACGGAACGACTCATTTTAGATAACTGACCGCTTTTAAGCAAACGGGTCCATAAGGGTATATTCATATCAAGTTCATTAATACGAGGAATATTGTTTCCTTCATATTAAAAATAGAAAAATGATAAACATGACTATAAGATAATAATGTATACCGAATCAACTATCAATTACAGAACACTTATGAAATATATAAGTTATTCATTAGTTAACAACTAAAATATACAATTATAGCTATGATACGAGAGAATCAGTATAAATGACTCATAAGAAAAAACAATCCACATAAGTGTTTATGGATGTTAAGACACATTGGTACAGATATATACATAGCTAATTCACAATCGACATATAAAAATATGATTCAACAAATCAAATAATGAGCATCGAAATCTACCCTTATCATCGAATCTAGATTAACACTCATCATGGAATATTTAATCAGTATTAGAAAATGGACACGGAAAAGTAAACTCTAATCGTTTTGAAAACGAGTAAATTGCCTTTAGAACATGACAGTAACAGGTGATAGCAAATCGATCTGATTATAGTTATCACTCCGCTCAGAAAAAATAAATCCAGAGTAAAATCAGAACACATCATATGACGATTAAAAATTGCTAGCACGAGTCGATTCAATTAAAGAATCAAGAACAGGTTCCTCTATGTGTAATGTATGTAAATAATGTCATTTCCGTATCAGTGGGAAAGTAATAAAAACTAAGTTTAAATCTGTGACCTAATCGTTTGAAAATTGAGTCGTTAAACTATCCAGTCCTTGCCTTCTATATGAAAGCAGAAATGATGTATCATAAAACAGTAATCATTAGAAAAAAAACATTCTTCATGAGTTACAGTAGGTCGATTAAGCAAGAAATCTAAAAGGAATAAGCTTCCTTTCAGTTGTGAGATATATATATTAGTTTTCGTTCAGGGCATCGAACATAGATAAGGTACTTAGAAAGTTCACAAGATATATGGGTTGAACCATTTTAAAATGTCACTGAAACAAGATCGTTTACTAACGTACAGTAATCGATTCGATGTTTAGGACCGCTTAGAAGACGTTGTTAGTTTTCCCAAAAGACTTACGACTGAGTCACGAATTAAAAATTATTCTACTTTACTGATTGTACCAATTTCTTAATGGATATATCAGCATGCACTTATCAGCTAAGAAATACTAGTTCCAAATATTTGTCGCTAAAAGAATCGAAGACCTGGTGACTCAGAAGCATATATCTATTTTAATAAACCATAAAATTATTCTAGGGTGTTCGACTCAAAGAACGACAATAAATCTAGCAAATCAAAGTCAAAACCATTAGAATCAAACCTTATCAGACACTATACCTTTGCGCTTGGAAAATAAGCGTTTCTGGCGATGTAAGCCGCATCGAGGTTTGGAAAGAAGAGGATCAGAGAATTTAAGGACAAGGAAAACTTTCCCCATTGGTAACATAGGAAGCATTACAGAACGTGATTCGCCACCAAGTAGTTCTTCAAGGCGTACATAACTAGAATGAAATTTGAAAACAATTTAATTTGAGGAGTAGAAAAATTCGAAGATATATCTAACTTTAAAAATGAATGACATACTTTACGGCTGCTAAAACCCACTCTAATCCAGAACCAGAATCCTCAGACGAACCACTTTTGGATGAAGCAGAGGATCCTGAAGGAGTGGTAACAGAGCTTGGAAGAAACGTACGCTTCCAATATACCTGAACTTCCAGTTCTTTGCCACGATCGATATTAAATGTAGTCTTTGAGTCCCAACACTGCTGATTAGGTTGACGCCAAGGTGAGTCCCATACACGTTTATGATCAATCAGTAAAGAGCATCGAACATCCACTTTAAATAAGAATGAAAGTTTTAACAAATATGAAATGCGGAAGGGTGTATATACATGTATTTATTTATATAGCCAAATAAATGAAGCAGCAAAATGATGCGTCACCTGAGATTGTTAACAGGGTTAGTAAACAATAATATCTCAACAATTTTGAATTATTTCTGAACCTATGGTTTCAATCTTGTTAGGTTATAGCTAGACTACCTACCTCATAATTTTTATAGATAACAAAATAAATTTGCCACTGTTCTAAAGTGCTATATAGCGATGTTGAATCGACAACACAAAACAAACAAAAATTCCGATGTCCCAAGACACTTGGAGAACTTATGAATAAGAACTGACGTCCTATAAAGTTAATTGTGTTCTATAAAAATTGACTGATTTAGTACATGACACCAAGCTAAACTATTGAAATTAACAAATCGGTAGAACCGTGAACATTATCTGAATCAAGGATTTTTGATTGTACATTTGAGAATCAATACCTTGAATGTCAAAACACTAGTGCATTACAAGGACCATATGAAATTTAAGTGATTAACTCATCATGTACAATCGTAAGTACTCGAATTATAGCAACACAAAGTTAGGTCTAGTGATATGATCCACCTGTGTAAACGGAATTAAGTGAAGTACCTTCAAAACTACAACCTAATGGTTGAAGTTCAAGTCATTGCTTCAAAGAAAGAACTAAACTCCCCATAAATTCCAAAAACTAAATTAAACTCCTCTTTCCATAAGTAAATAATGAGTAAACCCCTAACAAGCGCTGTTACTGTCGGGTATAACAGTTAGACTGACTGAAAACATTCAGCGAGACCTCTAGAGGTAAAATATCAAAAATCAGTTTATGAATAACCTACCCCAGTGATTCTCAGATGTGCGAGATGTCATAACTGATGGAACAGAGTGAACCCGGGATGTTGATGTGCCAGAAAGTTCATTATTTACAATCTCAGCTGGAAAATGATCAACGATATCCTGACAACCTAAGCAACGAACCTCCAAACTTCCAGTGATCGCAGTTGGTGGACTGGGAATTATCAATGAGCTATTGCCATGAAATGTAGTATTACTCCAAGGTGAGGATAAAAGTACAGTCATTTCAGGGTCATCGACAATAGAAGAAATCATCTCGGGAAAGTGTGTTGGTGGCGGTCTCTTTAAAAGCGGTTTGATTGATTCTTGAAACAAATAAAGTCTATGGAGAGATTCACGAGCCTCTTGTAACGCCTGTAGAAAGATAATAAATTGCCGAACTGATATGCATTAACATTACTGAGATTTGGATGTAAAAAAGCATAAAATTCTATTAAATGCTCTAGGAAATCAACTTGTAAATCTACAGTTACGAACCGAAAGAGTTCCCCTTTCATATAGGCTTGGAAAGCCGAATAGTACATGTTGTTCAGTGTCACAATAGTCCGAGTACCTAATACTCAACCATTCGATCACAAGTCTAAGCACAGGCTAGCTACTTCAGCTTAGATAATTAAGTAATATAGGTATATCTCACAGTAAGCGAACTTACCTCACATTTCACGTGCAGCTCAAAGTAAATATGTAAACGAACAAAACTACTGAGACAACTTCCGTATTACAGATACTACTCACTTTACCAAGATGTTTAAGATAGTATGAGAAAATTTTAGGTTACAATTATACGATTTCATACTAGCTGTTGGATATTGCCAAGACTAAGTTTCTGAGTCTGTCTTGTTTTTGCCTTTATTAATGTTGGGATCAGTTTTCTCAACATAATTTGCTTTTTGCATACTTGACTCCGCTGCACCGATACGAAATCAGTCAGTCAGCTACAACGTAGGACCAGGCACATATGTGCATCGGTCCAGGTTGCCATACCGCATCAACACAACAAGGTGAACACCGGATTCATAACAGTGGTTAGGTAAAAGGTGGTAATATATAAGAGGAAGATTGCATATAGAGATATAGTACAAGAAGAAAGAATTGGTTCGTAGAAAGAAAGATATGAAGCGATTTTAATCTCTAAGTTTAAGGGAAGACAGGGAGTGTATACACCGACGCCATTGTGATCGATTCTGAGCCATGTCACCAAGAGTCTCCAACCATTGGTTACGATAGTCACGCGGACCCCAACCAAATAGTCTGCATCTACCAACATGGCTCAGACTAGAAGTTAGTGACTTCAAGCACTGATGCCACGTTTTGGTTTGGCCGCTCCTAACATTCTTCCAACCATTTCCAATACCGGATAGCATTGCACGTCGTGGTAATCGGTGTTCAGGCATACGTAACACGTGGCCCAACCATCTCAGTCGATGAAGATTCATAACCTCATCAACTGATTTACCATCCTTTCCTAATACCCTGCATCTAACCTCACTATTACTTACCCGGTTATCCCAGCAGACGCCAGCAATATTTCTTAGGCATCTGTGGTCAAATACTAATAGCTTACGAGTGTCATCTACTCTTAATGGCCATGTTTCGCTGCCGTTTATGTTTAAACAAATAAATTTATACATAAATTTTTATCGTTCAACAGATAACATAGTATCTCTAGTATGTAAATAAACTACGACAGAATTATATTGCCATGCATTCCGTAGTTACTTAAAAAGGGGTGTATTGAGATATGTCAAAAATGAGATGACGTCTTTATCTTAGCTATGCCAGTCGTTAATGGTCTGAACACATTGAGGGATGGAATTATGCACGAGAAAAACCTTACCTGTAACTTTCTAGATTTGTCCACATGAATTTGGTTGTCTAGAACGGCATTAACAGCCTTCTTACTCCCGACGAATAAAGCTCTTTCAACTCGCAAACGGTGGGCTAATTCCATTACTTTATCTTTCCATATAAGAAAACTCTCTTGATGATTGGAAACAGAAGAGGATGTATTTATGGAGCCATTTGCTTTAGCTGTATCAGATGTATTTTCCGAACGCGATGCAATGGACGAGGTATCTGTCTGGATGAAAATTGAAAACCAATAGGTCACATATATTTGCAGTGACAACATAAATAGTCAACGATGATAACACAGGATAAACTAATGGTGAATCGCTAAGACTAAAATTCGATAAATTTACTTTAAAACTTTACAATAGGATATAGGATAAAATGCTAGATTCGAAATAAATAACTTATATGTCCTATGACTACCAAAACCATGAAAACATGTGCACAGAATTCAAACTAGCTTAAAACTGAAGACCAATAAGAAGAGTTTTACATTCCCCTTAAAGCCAGATATAATTAATACTAATGTAAAACATCATTTACATGAGTTAGGGAATCTCATCAAACCACGAATGTATACTGTTAAACACCACTGACTCATTATAACTTTTCGAATAACTTAATTAAGACTACTTTTTCATATTCAAAAATGCTCATAGCAATTGACTCCAACATTGGTTGGGGTTAGTATAAAGATCAAGTTCAGTAAACATACATCCTGTCAACCATCACAGTACAAGTTTGAACAGCACTATCATTAAATAGATCTAACTAGCCAACCAAAAGTCTAGTGCCTTATACTGAATATGAAGTATAGTTTAACATATGACTATATACACGTTTACGGAGGCACACATATTCAAATCTTATTTTTGCAGCTGATGAAATAGAAAGCGGTGGTCAACATAAGAGCTGTTTTCAGAGCTGTAAGAAAATGGGTAACAACAAAGACTCAAAAACTAGGACATTTTTGGAATCGTAATTGAACAACTATCTTGATTTGATAAGCCCGATTAAAAGGTTTTATAGTAATCACATAATAATCTGAGAACAAGTCGCTCAAACCTGAGAATCAAATACAAACGTCAATAGGTAACCAATAGCTGTTCTGTTCAGTTCAGTGTCCTTAAATGATTGAATTTAGTAAAAAGTCTCGAGATTCACGGAATTTAGCACAGTACTATGGCCATAACTGTCATGCCGGAATTCTCCCAATAAAACTAAGTGCTTAGTTTAAACAACATGGTATGAAACTAGAAACACGTTCACAAAGGCACTAGAAGCCATACAGGTCAATTACGAAGTTCATGTATGAAAGGTTTATAAAAAATACCACCATGTTATAACAACCTAAGACCGAATGCCACCTGGACTGGGCAATAGATATATTAACTACCAGTAGTATAACTGACGCGAGTTGAAAATTGTATGAACTACAAACTATACTAGCCCAGACTATTAAGGAGCCGACAGATGAACCTATATCGTATCATTTGCATTTGAGTAAACTAAATATAAAGGATTCCTATTCAAGATGCATGATACATGAACGAAATTTTATGAACTGTTGAAAGGCACAGTAAATCGACAAGTCGGTGACATAAAAGTATAATATTTACTGCTATGCAATGACTTAAAACAAATTATTACACATCATGACAGCAATTATTTACCTGGCAGAACCCTTCATTCATTTGCTTGACGCGAATCATCTGATTTCGAATAAATCCGATTTTATTATTAGCATTTTCATACTGCTTCCTAGCTTCCTCGAGAAAATGACGAGGGCCCGATTTGTATGTTTGAATCAGACGTTCCGCTCCACTGCGAACCTAAAGTACGCCAGAAATCAAAATGAAATTAAATCTTAATACCTGCAGCTCTATATCTAACGCTTTCTGCAGCTCTGCGAGGCGTTGTTCAATACTGTCACTACGGTTGGCTGACTTTATCACAGCACTTTGTTGGTCTGCAAACTATATTACAAATAACAATAACTACCGAAACTGGGTTGACAGTGCTTTAGTAAAAGAAGTGATGTTTCCAAATCACGTATATCTTCTGCAAGGTCTTGAACATCACTATTAATACTTTTGATAACCGCTGATGTGGTGACTCGACTAGATTTCCGATCCAGTGTATGGCCTTCTTTGGACCCAGTAAAATTGGGTCCGCTCGTGAAGTCATTGCTTGGAGGCATGATAGCAGATACACTCTTTCCTGCAGCATCTCGAAGCTTTTGAACCCCAGCTTTCAATTTATATAATTTCTGCAAATCCAAACGCTTGGAATCAAGCACATTCTTTAGTTCTTCGATGATGGAGTGATAAGGCAATTGTGGACTGATTTTGTAATGAGCAGCCAGCTCACGAGCATACTCTTCATGCTCCTGTGAAAAGATATAAGCTAAAATGGAAGAATTACCATGATGAGGTTTAGTCTTTATACTTGTCCGTCTAGAAACGTTTTGTTGTTTAGAATGTTGACGAATGGATGTACATATGGAACTCGAGAACCCCACAAAGCGTGAACACAATTTAAATATTGCGATTGTCGCCTCGTACGTATTGAGCGCTGAAAGAGGAAAAACTTCTTTAGCTTAGAATAGAGAAAAATGCATACTGCGTCATTATGAAGTAGAGGTTGAAATTTTCCTAGTTGTTAAAATTTTTATTTTCAATGATAATCATTTTCCGACAAATGTTCAGTGGCAAGCAACTCCTCAAAATTATTAAACATCAAACACTGACTTTGTTGGTTTCAGTGAACACGACTACTTCAAATGGTTCAAATGGTTGTGGACGGAATAGAAGAAGCTTTCGCTTAACAGGCTTCCGTGTTTAGTAGCAGGGGATCACCAAATCCTCCAGGCAGGAACCTAGGTATGTTAACAATAAAAGAGGAAAAGAAATTGGTAAATCATAGTGTGATACTGTCCTTGGTCCTTAAGAATAGGTCAAGTTGCCTGTTGAAGGACTCCTGAGAAGTCGCTTGGACTAGCTCGGCCGGCAGCGAATTCCAGCTTTTGACAACTCTTCAGGAGTAGAAGTTGTGTCTACATCCCGTCTTGCTATGTTGAGTTTCCAGTTTCTGGGTGTTACCCCTTAGGTTAGTATTCGAACTAAGCTTGAGTAGGTGTTTAAGAGGATGTCCAGAAGTGTTAAGAATACCATAAGCCATTAATAAATCACCTCTAAGACGCCTATACTCTATTGGGTCTAGTGAATGGAGGCGTTCTTCGTAAGGCTTAGATTTGAGTCCGCGAACTGATTTCGTGGCTCGCCATTGGATACGCTCCAAAGTGATCTTGTCCTTTTGGAGTGAGGGGGGAGTACTATACTTCCGTACTCTAAATGGGGACGGATAAAACTATTGAAGATTGTATGGAAAGTTCTTCCGTCAAACTGGCCAAAAATGCGCTTCAATGTTACCAGTGCAAGGTTTGCTCGGAAGGCATTTTTGTCACAGTTAGCGTAAGACTTTGAATCATGGGGCACCAGGACTCCTAAATCTTTTTCGACTTGGGATACTACTAGCAAGGAATTTCTTAAGTTATAACTGTACTCTGCGACATGTCGCAGATGGACTACTTTACACTTTGAAGTGTTAAACGTAAGTCCGTTATCATCTGCCCAACTTTGAAGTCGAGTCAGATCCTCCTGAAGTGCCTGTGTATCGTCTTGGTTGAGTATCTCTCTCCAAAGTTTCACGTCATCGACAAAAAGTAATAAGTCTGACGTTACCTGTTGAGGAAGATCGTTTATGTAGATCAAGAAGAGGAGAGGCCCTAATACTGAGCCCTGGGGAACCCCACTAGGACATTCCATAGCCTGAGATAAAGTGAAATTAACCCTAACCTTAAAGTGTCGATTTTCTAGGTATGAAGTAAGCCAATCGATTAGAGGTGGTTTGATACCTAGTCGTTTGAGCTTATTGATAAGACACAAGTGGTTAACTTTATCAAAAGCTTTTGAGAAATCAAGGTATATGATATCAACCTTTCCCTTGCGATCGAGGATGCTTGTCCATCTGTCCACCGCAGTCAGCAGGTTGGTTATACAAGAGTAACCCTTCCTGAAACCATGCTGTTGGGGTGAGAAGAAGTTTAAGGACAGTAGATAATCGTTTAAACCATCGCATATCAGGGACTCCATGAGTTTTGAAGGTAATGACAGAAGAGCCACCGGCCGATAACTTGAAGGTTCATTGCGTCGACCCCCTTTGAAAATTGGTGTGATGTGATCAACTTCCAATTTTCCGGTAGTTTGCCTTGGCTTAGCGAGTGTGAAAACATCACGCTAAGTGGAGTTGCCAGGATTGAGGCTGCCTCCTTCAGTATGGCAGAATGAACCATATCCGGGCCAGGAGAAGTATCTAGTCTTAAGTGCTGCAGTTTCCGGAACACCAAGTGAGCGCTTAGGTCCACTTCGGAAAGCCCTGTGGAATTACAGGTGAAACTGTCGTCAATAGAGTTGATGTCAGCCGGCTGAAATGTTTGAGAGTAATGTGCCACCAGAAAGTTAGCGGCGTCACCATCGTTGTTGGTTGGGCCGTTAAGACCTAGCAGTTGAGTAACTCCTGTTTTGGCTTGACGAAGAGAGGCTGCATAACGGAATAGGCTTCTAGGGTTTGAGGCAAATTTGTGGCTGCAATTAAACGCAACTCAATTTCGTAAATGTGCCTTTCAGCTTAGCAACCAATCAGAATGTGGCGGGAATTATTATATCCGCCATCTTTGTACGTAATGGCGGCCGGCTTTCTTCGTTCTGTGCTTCTTTTAGCTATTTCTTTTGTGTAGCTGTGTAATTAATGTTTCAATGTACTAAGATGCCGCAGTTAGTGTAGGGTTCTACATGTTCGTGTGAAATTTACTTCGAATCAGCATTGTTTTTTGGGTTTTTGCTGCTTCTACTCTAGTCAATGTATTTCTTCAGTCAAGCTGGTTAGTCTTATGTTTTAAAATGGAAATCGGTTTAGTTTTGACTTGTTTTCAAGATATCAAAAGCCGAAGTTCGTTTTTTCTTAGCTGAAATAACTGTTGCTGCGTCATGTGACTGACTGTCCGCATGTTCATTCCTAACTGTCCTCTATGATGTTATCGGCAAAATGAAAGGAAACAATTTCCGGTTTTTAATTTTCTTCAGTATTGCGGACAACAATATCCCACCAATGAGTCAAACTAATACTTAGTGCCTAGCCGTAGGGCATGTCAGTATTGTTTTCGGAAATACTCAGGCTTCCGACAACCATAGACAAATTCACAGATGCAACCAATCTATTGCAGAGGGTTTGTTATGAAAAAATTTGCCACATAGCAGTAATGGAGGGGTTGTACGCATTACGTAGTGCGTTAAAGCAAGCTTAACATTGAAAAGCCGGAAATCTGCTATCAGTGTGTAGTGTATGTTTGCTGTTTCGGCCACAAAAGGAAGCCGAAGGGTCATGATCAGGGAGTAAAAAGGTAACTAACTGTTATTAAGCTCAGCTTTTTATAGACCATAATTCACCACTCGCAAATTTGTTATTTATACGGTATGATGTCAACCGTTATCTAATATGTTCACCTTTACGATGAAAAGTACTTGCAAATTCTCAACTTCATATTCGAATTAATTTGTGACAACTGTCTTCCAGTTTGAGTTCTTCGTACGCCCTGGGAGACTAGATTCCTACATTATTCACAGTTCCAGTATAACTTTCTCACACAGTAAGTTCAAAGTAAACACTAGTCTTTCTAAATAAGCATGTTAAGCTAATATCCGTATTCTCTATTTCAGTTGATCGATGAAGACATGTACCACGTGCATCTGTTGTATATTGTTATTTTACTCCAATTCTTACTGTTATATCTTCTGAAAAATAAAATTGCTACATGCAGCAAATACAGACTTATTGTTTTGATGGTGGTAGGGGGGTTCATGGGTTTTTTAGCAGGATGGTAGTAACATTCCCACTAAAGAGCTAAGTGAGTGCGTAGACCAATGTAAAGTACCATACAGGGTGCCTTTGAATTACTCGTGTTCCATTAGTGTCGGTAGAAGCATTACTTGCTTATCATATGACATTTGAATAAGGAGCTATGAGATTAGATGCAGGGACGGTTAAGATGTGTAACGCGTGTCCATCCATCAGTTTTCGTGGCAACTCACGGTGGCTAGAATAAGTTGTGAGAGGACCCGAGCCTGTAGGTTTCCTAAGAAAGTGACGGAGATATGCACCAAATCACCTTATGAAGAGCGCCTCCAATCACTTAACCTCTACTCATTAAAGTATAGACGTCTTAGAGGTGACCTATTTACTTACAGGATCCTTAACACTTCTGGACATTTTCTTAAACACCTATTTGAGCTTAGTCCCAGAAACTAGAGACACGACATAGCAGGATGGACTGTAGACGCAACTTCTACTCCTTAAGAGTTGTCGAATGCTGGAATTCGCTGCCCGCCGAACTAGTCCGAGCGACTTCCCAGGAGTCATTTGAGAGGCGACTGGATCTTTTATTGTTAACATACCTAGGTTCCTGCTTGGAGGTTTTGGTGATCCCCTGCTAATAGACACGGAAGCCTGAACACATGAATTAGGTGATGAGAGGCTCGATTATCACAAGTTTCTTGCAACGATTAAGTAGATAAAACAAAGTAGCATTAGGTTCAAAAATTTATTCGAGAACTTTCATTAAAAATCGAATGTGAAACAAAGGTTTAAACCAAGTTCCAGTCTAAAAGTTGCATTTGTAATGTTAAGCTGCAGTTTTTGTTGTTTTTTCCAAACGAAAGGGTAAAAGAAGTAACTCAAAAAGTACTGGAAGTGGTTGTGAGATTAAAATGGACATCCAGCATCCTTTTTATAATCTGCTGTTAGTTGGGTCTCCCGTAAACAGATCCATAGGGCCATACTTCTAAGGGCGAAACAGTTCTTAACATCTGTGAAGACTCAGTCCTGTTGCATTCTAAATGAGAAAACAGTAATGAATTTAGTCAGAAATGTGGAATAGATAAATAACCAAATTACATGTATTTTAGCAAAGAATTTATGCAGTTGTGATTTACCTTTAGTTCATGAATATTAGGTCAGGTCAGCTATTTATTGTGCAAAGCATAACATGGACTCAATACCGTATCTCAATGCTTTTATTATTTTGCTCTTATTTAAGTATTACCATGTATCTGCATCTAGTTTAACAGGTAGACATACAAGCAGAGTTAGTGTTTGATGAACTAAAAGTCCCAATTGCCAAAAAGATTCTTAACATTTGTCCACAGCCAACTGCATTTAATTGAAATACAGAACACTCATCTTCTAAGACTGTATACTGCTCTTCTACGGGCAAATAAAAGCTCAGATACTTAGCTATCCTGCTACCGATGTTATTGCTGGGGAAATTGTTTAATGACAGTGATCATGAAATATGGTCAGTGATAGATGTACAATCTAGAAATAAACACCAAACATACTTATCGCTATCTTATAATGTATGACAGCAACAGTACCAAAAGCACTTTTTTCCTATTTTTAATCAGACTGATTTGAATCAGTATACTCATCAGAAACA